GAAACGAGTATCATACAATATAAAGAATATAATAAGTAATAATTCAGGAAAAAAGGAATAGATTTGACCAAATCAAATTATATCACGGCAGAATAAATTATATCTGATCAGATATGCTCAAATATGATTTCTTATGTCTGCATAGATCTGATCATATTAGGAAATTGCATTGAAACCGCTATTTTTTGTTTTTTGAGCATTTATTTCAATAACAAAATGTGTGAATAACTCAATTAAAGTATATTTGCCGAGCGGCCGGTCTATCCTCCACTCGACTGCGCGCAGGCTTCCCCGGTGTACGGCGTAACTATACGGTAACAGTACAAAAAGTATACATGATATTATTATGGTACACCGTATCAACATTGTACCTGTACTGCATACTGTTTAGGTACATCATGGTACATATGCAGTACCGTATCAATACGACGTACTATTATCGACAGGAGAGAGACTGTGGAAACCTCTATAGTCAAAGACGAATTGAATCTCTTTGATACTGTGAGAGTACATCGTGATTTCCTAACCTGAACAGTCATTATATAATTTATAAGATTAATATCTCGCTTCGCGGGCAGAATAACATTTTTTTCTGCACAAATTTCTATTGGGACAAATTTCTATGTTGACCAGATGTATCATAGCTATACATTCATGATTATATGAGTGGATCAGCGAAGTATAGCGGTTTCCATACGATTTCAGAAGTCAAGCACATTGGATGGCGGTATGCAACCGGATGGGTGGGTGACCGCTTCGAAGCGGTCTATGAAATTAATTCCCGAATTCCAGGGAAAAACGTTTTTTTTTACCATAATTTTATCATGTGTATTCTGGAATAAGATATTAATCAATAATCACAATAATACTCATTTTAGCAATAAAACTATAAAATTAATTAATTTTGGTAACGTGCGTACCTAAAGCGTACATTATTGGTACCTCGTACCAAAATACGATATACCGGTACTGTACACTTTAGGTACGCACGTACGTGATAGGTACGGTACCGATACGCATAGTACGCCGTACGCTCACCGTACCAATACCGTAGAAGTATTTTGTTATCTGGGTAATATTAAATCTTCTTAATTTTCTTCTCCAGCTACGGAATTTCTAAGTATGGGATATCCGCGGGATCGCTTTGTCAATATGGAACAATTTGGGATATCCTCAGGATAAAGTGTGCTGTGTGAGATCTTTATTTTTGAACACTATCGAAATAGTACTTAGAAATACCGTAGCTGGAGAAGAGTTAAGAAGATTTAATATTATTTGTATAACATAAAACAAAACGTCAATGTAGACTTGTATAATTTTCTATTTCCAATTAAATATATAATATTCTGTTCTCTATTTTCTTCTTTTCACCGATTTGCATTAAATAATTTTTCGCGCTCGAATCAACAATTCGTACGATGCATATCCACGCATCCGATAAGTCGATGCCGCTAAGTCGATAATTAGATGTGTAGTCGATAATTTTCTCATAGGGTAAAAAGCTGGTTCAACGACTCTAATTCACCCTGTATATGTATGTATATAAGTGCAGTGCATTAATTCTCTAGGTCATAGTAGCGGCCCGACTTACCGACGTGTCGATAACGCTTAACGCGCGCACGCGCTTAAAATAAGAAGAGATATTGACAATAATATTTAAAATATTGTGTTGAAACTTATTACATATTTTTTCTGTTGCGTATAAAATTATATGTTCCAATAGAAATGTATGAATTATATCTCCGTTATATTTACACTACTCTTTATATCTATATACATTTATGATGTATAAACCTATTCATTCCATTCCATACATATCGATAAATGCACAAAAAAAAGGGCCATCATGGCCCCTCTCAAATTTCTCTCTAATAGTATAAAATGAACACGAAGATCACGAAATCCTGACTCAAATCTAGTAATCGTCGATCGAAGGACAATTTTCTCAATCATTTGTGTTTGGCAAAAAATAGCTATTGTTTAGAAATTTTTTTCAAAAAAATGCCGTTCCCCTAATTTGCCGCCCCTAAACATGGCCTTTATTTTTTAGTGCTAACTCGGAAGTGGTTATATGGGAATATGCTGTATAAAAATGTAAATAATTATGTAAATAATTACATAAAATTATACATAATTATGTATAACCCATTACATAATTATGTATAATTTTATATAATGCTGTTTAATTCTTACCTTTTTAAAAAAAGGTAAATTTGTCATGATATTACGCATTTTGTAGTATATATTAACGAGAGATGTCGCGCGATCCGTATAGACAATCCCGATCTACCAGAAGACCAATGAAGAATTAAATATCTTCCGTGAGTGTCCTTGTCTGATTCCTTGGTTTATTTTCTTGGTGTCGTCTTTCGTTCTTGCGATATAGTCCAGTCAATAGACGATACTATATAAAAGATAACTATCAGAATGTAAATTAATCTATTTTTGTGATAGAATTGTTCAGTTTCAAAATAAACAGCTACTACTAAATGTTATGCATCTAATAAATAATAAATTAAATTTGAGTTAATATTGAATCTAACTTAAAAAATAAATTTAATAATGGCTGCGTTCAGCAGAGAAAACTAATCAGTTAGAACTTAGTGATTCTTTAATATGATTGATCTTGCTTTTAATTCTTTGCTGAATCTAAATGTAGGAACTAATCATATTAAAGAGTCACTAAACTAATTGATTAGTTTTTCTGCTGAACGCAGCCAATGTATACAAAGAAAAATCATTTTTTGTTCAAAAATCTAAAAATTTAGTCAAATATAGATCTAAAAATAATTCTGTAATCATCAATATAATTATGTAGAATGACATAAAAAATAAATGTCAAAATTATTTGTTCATCGTGCTTGAACGTCCAACATAATTATTTTGACAGTTCAATTATTTTCAGACTGTATCTAGCTAAATTTTTAGATACTACACTTAGTTCTTCGTCAGCGAACATCTTACTGACTTTCTCGACAACAAACACCTATAGACACCTATTTCCTCGACGGCGAACACCTATAGATACTATGGCTTTTGAAACATGTTATTATATGTAACAGCTACATTATTAATATTGTTGAATAAGAAATTATAATAAGAAATTAATTCTCGATATTACAAATCTTACTTATTTCATTTATCCGCACAATGCGTTGAATTAATAATTACTTATCGACCGAATATTGATAAATTTTCCAGAGAACACTGAGACATCTTATAAGACATCATAAAGACGTCCTAAAATTCATGAGGCATTTTTTGGAAGTATTAGAATGTCTATATGATGTCTTTATGATGTCATATGCATCGATTTATGACGTCCTTAGAACATCTTACAGACATTGTCCTTATGACTTGCTTCAGTCAAATGACATTCGCCTAAAAAATAAAAATTACTGATACGGAAACGCGTTGACAAGAAGAAGTATACGAAGCAGAAGTTAGAATTACCTGATAAATCGGTATGTGAATGATATCATACTTAATATTGGAATCTCGATAACTCGAACCTCTATAACTCGAAAACCTCTGTTAGACGAAAATTTTGTTCATTCCCTTCCGCTCCGCAGCAGAAAACCTCTACAAATCAAAATAAAACTTACTTAATAAAACTAACTCGAATTATTTGTCAGATATTTAGATCTCGAATTTGTAATACTTGACAACATAATACTTGACGATTGTAATTATTTGACCTACCCCCAAAACATTTATTATATGTATGAAATAAATAATTCACTGTCAAAAATTGAATTTTTTAAAAGTCATTTAATCGCAAACTTATTAACTCTCGTACAGAGCTTCCATAAGTCGAATTTTTCATATACTGTAATCTTCTTTTACTCAAAAAATTCAATGAGTCGAAATCTCTATGACTCGAAGATTTTAGCTCTTCCCTTGAGATTCGAGTTATCGAGATTCAATTGTACATATTTTTAATAACAATCTATAATTGTGATAGATAATACATCGTTATTGAAAATATATATTAAGTATGACATCCATTTATATACCGATTTATCAGGTAATTCCAACTGCTGCTTCGTATTCTTCCTCTTGTCAACGCGTAGTTGTAGAAAACTATAATTATAATATAATACAATAAAATATTGGAATGCCAAATTAATTGACATCCAATACTTTTTATATGTTACGTATTATATTCAGACATATTCAGACATATTTGACCCTGTCATGCACTCAATATTATAAATAAAATTTGCAGTCGATAATGTAAATTAAAACGTCAGAAAGACGTCTAAAGATGACTTTTGGAAAAATCCTCAAGACGTCTCTTTTCAGATGTCTTCAAGACGTTTTTCTGATTATCTACAAAAGACGCATTTTTTATAAAGTCGGAAAGACGTCTGAAAGACGATTTTTGGAAAAGTCCTCAAGATGTCTAGTTTAAGACGTCTTTTGGATGTCTTTCCGACATGTGTGTTCTCTGGGTTATTGTTGATTAATTTATTATCTTGCGAATTACGTACCCATTTCATTTCACGATAATATTTCAGTCGATAATATACAGTGCTATAAATTATGAAATCATAGGTAAATCGATAAATGAGAGTCGCAATAAATGAGTGCCATTTACCGTCGAAAATATAAAAAGGAGATTTTTTTAGGCGATGACGTATCTTACATAAAAATTTGGCATTTCGGATTTCGCATGACGATATTTCCGTTCGTAGGACACATAGAGGTAAACTAAACATAGAGGTAAAATAAACACTTATTATATAATTCGGACCCAAGCGGACATAAGCTCGATTGAGCTTATACTCAGAAGTCTATTATCATGTCTCTTGATATATAATTATACATACATATTCTTTATTGTGCATTTATATATAAATATACAATTCGTATATACATTTTTATACATAATTATATGAGAAAAATTATTCCAGACCAATGTTACTCTACATGTGAAAATGAGTAAAAACTGTAAATTTTTAAATTTATAAAAGAAATATATTTTAACTATACGTGTTTCATCTTTTTAACAATATGTATGACCAGATATGTCATAGCTATACATTCGTTAACATTCAGTGTTTCATGGTCGTATCAAAGCAATTCCCAGAGATCGCAGAGGTAAAGTAGCGCTAGATGTGGTATAGCTTATGATTGGTGATCGCTTGGAATCATAAAATTCCCCACTTCAGGAGAAAACGTTTTTTAATGTTCATTTTGTTTTGTAAATTCTAAAATATGGTGCTAATAAATAATATACTTATTTTAGCAATAAAACTGGATTCATTAATTATATAGGGTAGGTCTTAGACCTACGGGATCACCTTTCGTGGACAGGTAGAGCGAACTGAACTGTGTAAAAAGGTCCTGTATCATCTTACAATTTTCGCAATAATTAACGAGATATTAATATCTAAAAGTCGGTAAATAGTACGACCTACTGCGCCAATACAAACGAGCAACGTGGTAGAACCGCTCATCATCGTAGGCTGCTAGGCATGCGAGAAGTTGTTTACTACAAGCGGCCTTGGCAACGCACGAACAGGAAGAAAACATCTCTCCGCGCTGGACAGTTGTATCGTGGTGCGTGCATACATTTGGTGGGCTAGGCGAATATATATTTATTTGACGATTTTTAGAAATTAATATCTCGTTAGCTATCGTGAAAATTGTAAAATGGTAGATAATTTTTTACTCAGTCTAGTCCGCTCTATTTCCTCATGAGAGGTGATCCTGCAGATATGAAACATACTGTATATGACAAAACTTTTTACCGGAGTCATATCTGGCCAGATCTGTTAAATCAGATATAATCATATCTCGGCAGATCTAATCTTTTTTCCTTATAGAAGTAGTATTCAGTAACTCTCCTCTATGTGGAAGCTTCTTACATTGTGCTAGGTCATACATCGAGAACAAAGATATTATCCAATTTTTTAATAGATTGAGATGCACTTCCTTCACATTTCCTTTTCTTCCTATCGAATAATCGATTACTGAAGGTGCAGCGATAAGAAACTTGAAAAGAAAGAAGCTCTGCGCAATTCGTCGAAATGGACAGTATTTCTATTCAACACTGTACTAACATATTAAGCGATTTATTTCATCAAAATAATGTAAAAGATTGAAACATATGAAGAGCTACAGGTCAACGTTGCAGATTGCAAGGTAAAGACGCAGTGGGAAAAGACAAAACTCTAACCTTTTAATAAAATTTTAACATTCTATTCATTGATATTAAAACTGAGGCGGAGAAAGAAAAGTTCAAGGTTTTCTTTCGGGGCTAGAGATACGTCTAGCTAATTGTTGATGGATGGCAGCGCCGTTCCGATCTTTTGACGGTACGATACATTCCTTTTCCGCAACAGTCGCAGCCGCAACTGCACATGATTTGCTATTTTCATGGCTTGGCGAAACGTCTCTTACTAATCCACGAAGAAACATCGCGACACATGGCCATGGAAATATCCTGCGTTTTATCGATTATGCAATTTTTTCATATGAGCGACAAAATAACAAAATAACAAATTTACTTACCACTTTAAAGTAAGCAAAATTTGTAAGTAGCCTGGAATGATGGCATACTTTTCATTACACCTCATCGCCATTATTATTCTATCGGCTACAGCATTTGGACTTAGAGTCGGGATGTATCTAAATTTTGAATATTGTATATACTTTCATACATATAGTAAGCTAATTTATTTACATTTATATTATCAGAAAAAAATTTAAATAATAATATATTTATTTATAAAATATATATATAATAGCTTCTAGAAAATTTTCCAGGATTTCTAAAACATTTGAGCAATTTCGTATATTCATTGTATTAGTTTCATATATTTGTGATTTATTTCTATACCAAATCAGCTAAAAACAAATTCTATGAATCTGAGAAGAAAATTCTTACGGTGTTCTTTTGCAAATTGCGTAATTAAAATAATAGTGACTGTATTATTGATAATATTATGTCATTTTAAATGTTTATAATTTCATAAATTTTAGTTTTCTCTGCAGAATATAGGATATACAGTGATGGGAGAAAGTTCCGTAACGGTCAAATATCTTGGAAAATAATGATTATGGAAGAAAATGTTTAATACAAAAGTTTTAGTATATCAAGTGGTCTATTATATGGTTATATTGAAATGACTTTCATGTTACCTTGAAGGACACCGTGAAGGTCAACTTTGAAATCTTAAATGGAAACTCCTATTTTCTATTACATATTCTTAAAGCTGGTATCAAGACGTTTCCGAAACACTGGTTACAAACCCTTTTTGCTTGAGATCTTCCTGAGTTACGAACCTTTCTCCCATCATTGTATATCTTTATTTATATAGAATAGGAATGTTGGCATTATTGCCTACTATCAGTTTTGGAGCCCATTTTGTCAGACGCTCATTTTTGGATAATTTACGAAAAACTTAATTATTGCAAAATTACAAACAGTATTATAAAAACTGCTTATATTATCTGTGATAGAAGACATTTTTTAGTTTGTATTTATGTTTTTGAAGTTGTATTTTTACCTTTTGTTTAAGAAATATTGTCTAAAAACAAAGTGGTATGTCGGTATTGGTGACCTTCCTCTATTCATAAATATCAAAATCTCATCTACCTTGATTGAACGTCATCGAACATACCGGTACTGCGAATAAAATAAGGACATACAACTGTTGTGTTGATATTGTATCCTTCATACTAGAACAGAATAGATTAAAAATGAGTTGATCGATTAGTCATGTAATGGTTATATACGTATAATAGTACGTAGAAAAATATAAGTAGCTAACTCAGATAGCAAAACGTTAGCAGAATGTCGACAGATTGGTAGCAAATTTGATCAGAAGATGTTAGTAGACTGACCTCAACTATCGCATTCTGCTCCTATTCTGTCGACAATATCTGTTGAAAATTTTATATCAACAGATTGGTGGCAAAAATTAAACAGGGTACCGATCATGTAACTTTTTCTCTAAAGCGGAAACGTAAAAAGTGAAAATTTTTATGTATATATAATATACAACCGCTATGCAACCGCTATGTATCCGTAACACCCTGTACATATAGACACATACATACAAAAAATGTTCATTTTTAGGTTTGTTAGCTCTTAACACCGGCTGTTAGATTCTGGAATAAAAACAAGGTGTTTCATCAAAGTTCCGATTAAACTTTGACCTGACCTTGACGGCACTACCCAAGGTCAAACTGATAAAATCTGTAAATAGATCTTTTTATACCGTACAACTTTTATCTGAAACATTTCTTTCGGAAACATCATCCTCCCGAGTAAATCCGAAGTCCCGACCTTTTTTGAATACCCTGTATATATATACAAAGTATCCCATTTTAACTTTGACATACTGACCAACTAAGGCAAGATCGAAAGATGATCCAGTCAATGAAGACAAGATCAAGGGATGATCCGACTAATTAAGGCAAGATCGAAAGATGATCTAGCCAATGAAAGCAAGATCGAGGAATAATCCGACCAACTAAGGCAAGATCGAAAAATTATCTGGCCAATAAAGGCAAGATCGGAAGATTAAGGAACTTTGTCATTACGTATCACTCTCGGAATTAAATGTTCAAAATGCACCGTTGTTTTCCGGGCATAAAATCAGTCTATGTCTAAAGTTTCGTAGAACTTCTTTGAGTATTTGCGGTGTTATCACTTGGCTCTTCTAACTTTTTCCATCATATTTATTCTCGTAGTTGGTGCTTCCTGATATATAGCATCTTTCACATATCCAGTGAACACAAAGTTACATGTAACATACCTGTTAGTTGTAACGTAGCAAGTGTGTTATGTTACAGTTATATTGTTGAGTGGGAAATTACAATTAACAGGTATGTTACATGTGACTTGTGTTCACTGGGGACGTGTAAAGAGCTCACCTGCTTACACAACTCTTTAAAGTAACTCGACAAGTGCTTTCGCCGTAGCGACGAAATTCTGCGCATATGTGATATTTGTCGCTGACAACACACAGCGTGTGCAATGGAGGCAATCGAAACTTTATGCGATTGTTAAAGACGACGGGATTGCTTATACCAAAAAACACAATAAATCTCGATAACTTCAAAACGGTCGATCCAAAGTGAATTAAATTATAGTGTTTTGGAAAGATCTCAAGAAGGGATATAATAATATGCAATCAAATCTAGGGTTCTGTCAAATCTAGTCCTGTTTAAAAAATTCAAAGTGACCTGACTTTGGCAACGCCATCCAATGTCAAACGGATCTCAGATGATCAGTAAATATATAGATCTTTTTAAATCCTACCATTTTTATCTGAAACATATTTCAGTATCTTATATAATTTTCGAAATATTTCGGTGTCAAAGTTAAAATGGGACACCATATCTCTCTCTTTCTCTCCCCCTCCCTCCCTCCCTCTCCCCCTCTGTGCCTCTGCCTTGCTCTGTATATTACGCTGTCATTGTATTTGTGCTGCCAAATAAATAGGCGTTCTTTTCAAATACAGGTGTCTTATTTATTGCCATGAACGCGACCGTATGCGCGAGTGAGAGTTCGTGAAACCGCTCGTCGCGGATGTAACAGTACGAATATATGTTTGCGTTGATTGAATATAATATTGAATATAAGATTGAATATACTATATCTCCTAAACCAATGCCGTCCCCCATTTAATTCTTGTGGGGAATCACTCAGGACATTCTCTCCTACAACATATCTAAAGGACATTGAAATCAGTGAGGTGTCACCTAAACTAGATATTTATCAATATAATAAAGAATATTTATATACACATATAACTTGTGTTGGCTCTTAAAGGCTTCTATTAATTTTTATTCATATTTATTAGGTCTATCTTTGTTAATTTACAAGATAAAAGGGAATGGCCATTTATATGATAACACTCTATATAAAAAATGTCTACTGTAAAAATTAGTTTATGTTATATTTTCTTTTGTCACTCTTTTTCTCTCTTTTTATTTTTGTGACAATTGAATTTAAAATATCTTTTTTTTTTTGAGAAAAAACTGAATTAATTGGTACAATATTAGAATAATCTATTGAATAACTTGTTCAATAAATTATAGTTACCTCAAGTTCCATTCGAAGAGCTTCATCAAATCCCATTGCCGCAAATTTGGATGCACAATAGTCTATCAATTTTGGAATCCCGCATTGACCGGCTAAACTGGCCACGCTCACGATGTGTCCTTTATTGTTTTCCAGCATCGTTGGAAGAAAAGCTTTTACCGTCTAAAAAAGAGTTATGGCAAAGTATTTATTAGAGCTCGGAATACCCGAGTACCCGAGTACCCGCTCGCCCGCTCCGTTATCTATGCATACGGATCAGGACCGGTTCCGCAAGTACCCGCTAATTCGAGTACCCGCGGAACCGTGTACGATTCGAGTATCCATGGAACTGTGTATGAGGTATCCGAGATATTGTGGGCGATACGGGTACCCATTTCGATGCAAGTATCCGCTACATGCTACAAATATTTGTGTGTAATTTTGTTAATTTTAAAAGTATGTGTTTTACAATCGTTTGTAGCGATTTTCATTCCGTTTGTAATTAAAATATTCTGGAGCTAAACTGTTTCGTTTTCGCAATATGAATATTAAACATATTTCCAAATTTAATTTGTTTTGCAGGGACTATACAACCAGTACATCCTTAATTCAAACTATTTAACTACAAACAAAATGAAAATTAGTATAAACAATTCTAAAATGCCTTTAAAATTAACAAAATTACACGTAAATATTTGTAGCATGTAGCGGATACTTGCATCGAAACGGGTACCCGTGTCGCCCACGATTCCGCGAGTACCTGTATTGCAGGGTTCTGCGGGTATCCGAATTAGCAAGTACCCGCGGAACCGGTCCAGAGCCGTATGTACGGGTAACAGATCTACGGACGAATATCCGAATTTTACGTACCCGGTTCCTTTTCCGAGCTCTAACATTTATTAGTTCTATTATTTAATCATTAATATTGTCATATTATTACGCCAACGCTGCGTTCGCGCCATTCGAAGCATTGTCCTCGCACCGTAAAACTTTGCCGAGTTCGCACGCACTCGAAAAAAGATCGCGAAGAGAAGTGCGTTTATGTTTTGAGTTCTCCACATGGAGAGAGAGTTGACAGGATCTAAACTGGTTCCGCGTAACATTTCCGAGTCTTTGTGTACATAACCAGTTCTGTAATTACAGTTTCTATTTCTAAACTTATTAAGGCTAGTATTCATAGTCGATTCTTATATCTAAGACTATCTTAAGTACAGTCTTAAAGTGTCACGAACCAATCAGAGAGCAGTATTAGCATCTGAAAGCTCAGTTTTACAACTCATGGTTAACTCTTAACCGAGGTTCAATTTATTTCTGATCTCCTTCTAATTTTAGAATTGAAAAGCCTTAGCCTTTGCGTTTTAAGATCGAAAAATCAGTTCGACGCGAAGTTTAAAAGAATTACATACGTGGTATATAAATTCACATAGAATTATACAAGTACTTAGAGAGAGACCCAACTCGACCGTTAAAGGCATTGATCCCTTGTTAGTTGTGTACTCACATGTATATGGTCCTATAAGATTCTTAGTTTAATATTGTTTATTTACGTCGCCTGAAATAAGACGTTGTTCCTACATACGACAGTTATTGCGAAGAATATAATTACTAAGGCCTCTAAAGACTTAGAACGCTTACACGAATGTTAGAGATCCGGGTTCGACTTCCTGCCGTGATAATTAATTTTTATCGCAATATATTATTTATTTACAGATTTTAATATGTTATTCGGCATTATTAAAATTGTTCTAATTGTAAGATGCTTATGAGCATTGAATTGTTAAATTGCTAATTTTTTTAATTTATCTTGTGATATTACTGCGGTAGTTCAGTGGAATTTGGGTTTCAAGACCGAAAAATCATTTCGGCACGCAGTTTAAATACAAAACTTAGACCAATTTGAATTAATTGACTTTTGTCATTAAACATCTATTTATATTAATATTTCCCGTCAGTATACTAATTTTCTAATTGTGGTCGGATACTGCGACAATTACGTACCAGTGTCTGACCAGCTATCTGGCCACTGCAACTGGTACATTGACGCATTCTATTACTTATTTAAATATTTTAATTAATAATCGTTATAAGTGGGTTCAAATAATTTTTCCTTGCTTAAGAGAGTCTTGAGTTTTTAAATGAATACAAATATTTATATTAAAAATCTTTCTGATATTATAAATTGAATTATTTATGACAACCTACGCTTAAACGTCCAGCTACAGTGCATTTACCTTACCAATGCGCAAATAAACTCGCTACATATTAATGTAAATAATTCGAAAAAGATAGTACTTCTTTTATTTAAAAAAAGGATAGAAATAATATATATTCTAATAATCTAAATAAGATGAAGCCATCTCTTTATTTAGATAATTTTCTAGATAATTTTATACAGATTATTGCAAACACTATTCTAATGATTCCAAATATTATCATTAAAAATGTATAATTAAGATGTAAAAAAATGTGATTTTCATAGAATATACTCTCTAAATTTCTTGAAGTGAAATCTCACTCCAAAAAAGTAAGAACACTGCCACTACTGCCATCGATTCGATGTCGATTCCATTGTCATTTCTCACTGGGTTAACGGCGGAGCCAATCAGCGTTAGACACGTGCATCGGCACCACTCTCTTTATACCCAATCTAGCAGTCACAATAATACGCTACGATGGCTTCTCGACCTGTCTTGGAACTGTCCGCAAGGATAAACTGGTAGTGATCGACTCCACTTTGATATCTGGATTTCATTCTAGACTTAATCAAAACTAGAGATAAATGGAGAATTTAGAACCTTTGAAACCCTATAATTTTGGAACGGAAAATCGGTGCAAAATAAAAATATATATTTGTATTTAGCTCAACGAGATCTTTCATTTGGTATCCATTTTAACCTTTAATTTCACTGCCAGAATTAAGGGAACATGCCCCATATACCCATTTAGCCGCACTCTTTAGAGTAAGCAATCAAATTCATTATGTTAACGTTTTGCACAAAAATTAAATCAGTTGTTAATATCATAAAAATTAAATCGATTATGTGAGATTTTTGTCTTTTATTTCTTGTAACAAAAGAACCATGACGGAATTATTTTAAAAAATACAATAAAAAGCCTTAGTGTCAATTACTCCAATCATTAATTTCATGTACATGTGAATTATTATTCTTTGACATTACGTCGACAGAGATGATTGTTAAGTAGTTGTGTTGCATCATTTTTATCGAAAACAGGTTCTATTATGCTCTATCATCATCGTTATATGTGCGTCACAAAGGTGTCAAGAACATTACTCCGAGTGAGATTACGATTTCTATTCTAACCTTCATATAACCTTGCGTGTTTTTAAAAATTTCTTGTACATAATCGATATACATATATTCTTCCCGATTACACATATGTTTTATCTTTTCTCAATCAGCAGATAATGTTTTTAAAATATATTTTTAATATTTATTCAGTATTTTTATAATATTAAATATATTAAAAATACATTTTAGAAAGACTGTCTACTGATTGGTAGATTGTTATTTTTCCCATACAGCACGAAATATTTCAGAAATATTGAAATACATATGAAATATTTCATATTTTAAATTATAAAATTACAAATTTCATATTTTAATATTATAAAAATATGTATAAGCACATAAATACAATTAATATATTATATATCCAGTAAACGAGAATAAATTAAAATGGATAGAAATGAATTCATTTCGACATTTCCGAATTCGCGCTTCTGATTTTTCGAATCCATTTGAATTCATATCTAATTTCAACATAATGAGCAGCTCTTTTGTATTTTAATTCATTTCAATCAAAAAATAATATAATACGAACATAAATCATCCAAATTCAACATGATGAATATCATATTTCTTATTTCTACCCGTTTGAGTCCAAAAATACTTATGTCGTAAATAAGTTAGCTTTGAATACATCCCACACACAGTTCAAAATTATAAATAAGAACAGTCTCGTTTGTGAATTCACTTCCATTAAAAAAAAATTCGACATAGCTAATTTGTAAACTGTGTTTGTAATTTGTAATTTGTAATACATCATAGTTCAAAATTATGAAAATACGCAGTTTTGTTTAAATTAAATAAAAAAATTTATAATGGAAATGTATAAGCCCTGAATTTATATCCGAGTGCAATATTGAATAAGAATATTTCTGTTTCAATCGAAATCAATATAAAAATACTTTCTATTTATAAAGAAAGAATTATAACATGTTTATGAACCGAAACAAATTTATGCTTTCAGATATCAATTATAGTAATTTCAATTCATTTCAATACAGCTCCAGGCTCTAAAGCGTGTATTCGGATAAATTAAAATGAATTGCAATTTTTAATTCATTTCAATCCATTCTCGTTTACTGGATATACATACATATAATATGTATATGTTATACATATAATATATATGTGTATATATGTATATTTTAATTATATATGTGCTCATGTATATATTTAAGACTTTCTTAAGTACAATCTTAAGATGTCATGAACCAATCAAAGAGCTGTATTAGCATCTTAAGACATTGTTCAACAAGGTCTTGAAATAAGAAATATAAATACTGATCTAAATATACAATATATAAAATATAAAAAAGAGCTAATATATATCATATATGTAGGGGAGACCGGGGATAATCGATAGGGCATGTTGTTACACTTAAAATTGCCGCAAAACAACAAACGATAATATTACATAAAAAAATATAGTATTTTCGTAAAAACATTGCAGTCATGCGGCAATAAGTTATGTCAGAGTGAATAGCATATTTTCAGAAATAGAAAATATTTTCGCGGTTTTTCATAGCCAAAAGTAAAATAAATCAGTGATATATATTAAATGTTATATTTATCAATCTGTTCACCATATCATAATTTCAACTATTTCTATAGAATTCTTATTTTATAAACATCTTACAGTTATTAATGTCTTAACATATATTTTTTCCATAAGTAATAATTGAAATACGTAAATATGACACCCCGGGACTAATTGTGACGGGGTGTGTCGTTACAGGTGTCTGCTTCTCCATCATCACATATGTTTAGGTATATTATAAACGTTATTAATGTTACATAACTATAAATAAATATTTAAAATTATTAATGAAGTATTATATATTTCTTTTTATTTCATTGAATTAAATGTATAATATTTTGAAATCTGGATATGTAACAAGTGACCCCAGTAACCCTTGACGGAAAAAAACTGTATCAACTATCCCCGGTCTCCTCTACATACGTACATATATGTACAAATATACATATACATGCATATACATAAAAATAAAAGAAACAAGCTCAAGTAATGAAATCTATCAAATTAAATAATGCCAATATGAGCCAATACAGGATATTCACGTGTAAATTAAAATATACATATGCATGCATATACGTGTTATTCTTGACTTTCTCTTAATATAATATTGTTCTTATAGTTGTTAATTTTTTAAATATTTCCTATATTCAGACCGGTATTCATATTTTTTATTTCAAGACCTTCTTAGTAATGTCTTAAAATGCTAATACAGCTCTCTGATTCATGACTAAGATTGTACTTGAGATAAATCTCAAACATAAGAATCAACTATGGATATCAGCCTTAATATCATTTTATTTTTTATCTTATATATTTTTAATCTGCTCTTGTGAACAAACACATTTTTTGCTGTAATAATTAACATTGATAAATTATATTTTGCAAATTTTAATTAAGTAGTTCTACGAATATCTGAACAAGAATAATACTACCAAAAAAATTACAGAGAAATTATCGGGAATATACTACGTCATATGACAATTATTACGACAGAAATATTTCATTTTGATGTGTGTGTATTGTGCGAAGCATAAAGTTATAATGAGTAATACATGTCGAGTGAACATAATATATGTACAAGAGTAAAATCAATGTAATTACATTTTACAACGATTCAAAACGAACGAAAATCTGTGAGCAGATCGTCGATTAAATAGGAATTCGAATTAAGGAATTATTTGTGTTTGGCAAGCGTGCCGCTAGCTCATGCGTGTCGCAACACACTATGAGACTATGCTACAGTATACTACAGCACCGCTTGTTCGTCGACAACCTATCTGACCGGTTCTTGCACCTGACCAACGGCAACAAACGGGAGGAACGAAATGGAATGCCTTTCTCCGTTGATTCTCCTGGATAACCGAATGAGACGCAGCTCGCGATACTTCTTGAATTCGAACTCGATTCATGGAATTATGGTAAATCGTATAATTAAAAATATTAGTCGCATATATCTGATCGATTCAATCGTTTCGCAATCAATCTCTTGTTGCAAAATCTATACGCAAAAGGCTAAAAACGAATAAGACCTCTTTTCCTAGTATCTCGACAATATCTCGATTCTACTTTCTTCGCCTTAAAAAAATTTTCAAGTTATTCCAAATAGTAATTAATATAATTCAGATTTCAAAAAATTTCACGGTAAACGAAATCATATTCGATATATCGGCGTTCGATTTCTCGGCACCAATATAAATAACACGAGATAATTTATTGCAACGATTGAAATAATTTTGTGCGAGGAATGACTTTCTACTTACCCAAAAGTGGCTCATGATATTAACGTCCATCGTCTTGATAATAAGTTCATCCGGAGTGTCCAGAAATTTCATTCCCGTGACAATACCCGCATTATTGATAAGAACCGTTACCTATAATATATAATCTAATTGTAAGTAAAATAAATGAAGTAAAAAAATTAATTGTTTTTTATTGAAAGTGTTGTTTCAAACTTGTACGAATTTTTTTGCGAAGTGCTTACGAAGAAATGAATACTTTGCTCTCAAGTGAAAATAACGATTAGAGGAAGTAGATGCATAATATATGCTGTACTTCTGAACATAAAGTGTGTCAGAGACATATTTTAAACGACAAAAAGTCACGTTTTTCGCAGTTCTTAAAAGAGGTCAGACTCACATATCGAGCCCAACGTATCGCAATACTGTAGCGTAACATAGACAATTTCATAATCGTCCGCAGGAAAGTTCTCATCGTCATGAATAGCTTGGCTAATCGCAGATAATTCGTTTCTTAAAAAGACGCTTCTTTCACGCTGTATCAATCATTCGTAAGCCTCATGTTGTCAAAAGCGAATCGCGACAAAAATCAAAACTGATAACAAAAGAAATAATCTTAGTGTGCATTCCGAGTTACGTAAAGCGCATGATGTATCGTTTTATCCTTCTTTATTATTTGGTGAACAACAAGAACAAATGATGCATCATGCGCCTCATTCGTAACTCGGAACGCATCCTTAGATGCATTGATATTGGCTGTGTTCCAAAATTTACTGCCAGTACTGAAAATCTATAGTGCACGTGACGTAAACTATAGATTTTCAGTACTGGTAATAAAAAAGAGTTGCCGAATGCGTACCACTTAATCTATTTTTTATTATATTTTCCATTTGGCACTGTTTCGTATACAAATGAACATTAGAAACGTAGCTTGATATTTCGGACGCTTATTATTACGTGTTTAATTTTCCACCAATAGCAAATTAATTTATTATAAGTCTTTTTGCAGATTGCAAAAGGTACGATTTAGGCAACCGATCGCCTAAATCGTATCTATAGGTATTTTTTATCGTATTTGCTTTGAAAGTATTATATTAACTTTATGAAAATATTTAAAAGTATCAGATTAAATAATGAAAACATTAACTAATACCTAATTTGAATAATTTATTGAAGAAAATCAAATATTTTATAATTATTAGATAACAATAATGAAAAGACAAATAACGTCAAAGTAAAATTGGCTCAAATATATTTTTGCACTTGACATTTGTATTGATATCAATTATCAGTTTTATCTTATGATAGTACGATTCAGGAAACTTGATGGATTTTGTGAAAATATCGATTTAATGTTTATGGTTGTAAAATATGTATATACAGTGAAAGTAAAATATTCTTCAATAAATCTTCTTTTATATAAAAATACAAAAATTTATAATAAAATTTGATGAGCGCATTGTTATCAGCTACATAAGTTGATTAAAAATTAATATCAGATGTACATGATTTTTTAAAACGCCGCAAACGTCCATAAAACAAAACGTAGACTATTACATTTTTCTCTATGTTACTCATTTCTCGTGTATTTTATTGTTACTAAATGTTATCTATATTAATTAATAATATAAAATATTGATGAAGTACAATTTAGGCAACTAGTATGCATTCAGCAACTCTCCCTTAAATTTTGGAACACAGTCATTATAATTTACAATAAGCAAATTTTTTAGATAAGAGAAGAATCTTTGACCGATTTATCTTTCGATATTATGTTTCGAGCAAACATATTTTCGATTAATTTTATTCCATTAATTTTATTAAATAATTACTAGAATAATTTGAACTCGATATAATTTCTCGTGAATAAACGCGATATCATTATCACAGGTTTGCAGCATATTTATACTCTGAACTAGGGAATAATTTCAATCTTTCATAAAACAATATCATTATCAAAATTCGTAATAATTGTGTTTACCTTGCCGATCTCTTCCCTGATAATTTTGGCCTTTTTATATATGTCTGTCCGATCACACAAGTTGCAAACGTAGCCATAACACGTACCTCCGGCTGCCTGAACAAGTTTAACAGTTTCCTCAATGCCTAAAATAAAATAAAAACTGATCGAAAACTCTATGTCTTATATTTTATTCATATTTCAACAGCAATAATTACGTGCATATATTACATCTTCTACTCGAAAAACAAATTTGTATTAGGAGGTGTAAGTGAAATACTACGAGTCATTTACAAGTTAAAAAAAAGTCCCAAGAGGATAATAAAAGTAATTTTGACATTAGTTGCATTCAGCAGAATGTTTATTTTCCTACTGTTGAAAGTTTTCTTCGCGCTCATTGGATTATACTTTTAGATCTGAAAATATAATTCAATTAGGGTGAAGAAAATTTCTAACAGTTACAAAATAAACATTCTGCTGAACGCAATTATTATAAAATCGTTGTTGCTTTCTTGTTGATTCTAATCTACTTCGTTATGACATTGCAGACTTACAAGCAATGTTCTATTTTAGAAGAAATAGTGATCCGTCATTACTATCTCTATAAAAAATTTTCAATTATACATGTATGAACATTACATACTGCCCTGGTGCAAAAATTTGTGAGAGTTTATCTGAAAAATATAAAAAAATGACCAATTCTGACATATTCAAACAGATATTGCCGAAACTTGACGGAAAGTATCTCATTTTATCTGTAACTATCCGAATTTGTCCGAATTTATACGAATTTGTACATTTCGACAATTTTAGAATGAAAGAAATTTAGAAAGAAATGTAGAATGAATTCGGACAATTTCGGACACATTTGGATAAATTTTTCCACCATAGTAATAATTACACCTAATATTAAAAAAGTAATACTTTACACACACGCACGCACGCACGCATGCACGCACGCACGCACACACAAGATTGCAAATAATAACTTAAAATTATAATCATTTTAATTATATAATAATTATTAAAATTCCATTGTGCATAGTTCTAATAATTTTATTATTTCTGAGTTTGCAAAAATAATAAAAATTATTAAATAATTTTTAACAATTTTAATATATTTTCTTATAAAGTTTTTCACTGGCAGAGCTGGTGCGCACCCAGTGCATTTTAAAGCCGTTGTACACAAATCAACATAAAGATATACGTTTAATAAAAATATAGAAACGAATTAAACCGCGAAATTCTCAATATATTTTATTATGGTATTTGATAAAATATACGTTGGGTATTTTATTAATTGAAATATCTTACTTTTACATTCAGATTAGGTTAGTGTGCAACAGCTTTGGGTTCCGAGTTAAGGCCATCACACGTATAAAAATTTTAGTCGTAATCGTAAGATCGCAAGCAAATCGACCAATCACAATCAAAATTACTATCTCGCGTTTTAAAACGCTCGACTGTGATTGGCCGATTTGCTTACAGCCTTACAATTACGACTAAAATTTTTATACGTGTGATGGCCTTTACGCATGAAGCGCATTGAGTGCTCATCAGTTCTGCCAGTGAAAAACACTATTAATATTATATGTGTCTTTACTAATACTCTTTATTTCCAAGTTGTTGTTAAAAATTTATTAAACATACATGTGCGAACAAATCATTTGTAAATGAAATTATAAAAATAATAAAATGATATGTATATATAAGAAAAATTAAATAAAATATATTATATATATATCTATATACATATATATAAATTATATATCATATGTAAAGATCTGTTAATAGAAAGTTCCATTCTTCCTCTTTTTCCTGCTATTTGACTTCTTGCCTGAAGAGTAGATAACTGCTCTTTTCATAATACGTAAAAATACAATCATTTCCTACGATACTTTCACTAGAATCGATTTCTCTTAATAACAATTAAAGCATAAACGTTTATTGAAATTTTGAATATATGTGTAGTACCTACCGAAAGTGCCCGGGTCACTTAAATAATTTCTGAAGATATAAAATAGGAACTTATAGAAATACAATGAAATCATAAAATCTATTATTTAACCTCGAAAGCATACACCTTAACACCTCCGGGGGGCGATGAAAGAGAGAGCCGGAAAGTTTTAAATGGCATGTGGGGTCGAATGAGGACTCATTTGAAAACGCTTTTCGTGACGAAACCAACGTGAGGTGGCTGAGGTCTCTACGATTCTTTTCGCAAAGTTATTGTTATCGAGATTTTGCAACAATGAAGGCCTACAGCGAGGAAGATAAGACTTCGCACGAGCAAACGTGTTCTGAGTGGATGGAAGAGCGTGCGATGTGTGTGCGTGCGTGCGTGCGTGCTTGCATGCGTGTGTGTGTGTACATACGTGTGTGTTCAAATACGAACTTTAATATGCAATCGCTTAATAAAAAATAAGCTATTTCAGTTGTTTATAATAATAAGTGGCTCGCTCTTGCTTGTATAGTGTCCACTTGTACGTTCTGTATCCTTTCCACGTACGACTCATGCTGCCAAGAGTGTCAGGGTCAAATTGTAGCTGGAGTTAATATTTTAGATAATATGATCGTATGTAATTATATGGAAGATATAATTATAATATAATATTAGTACCCGTAATATAATATATACATGATGTCCTTAACATCACTCACCATGAGGTAGAGCGGACCGAACTGAGTTCGAAAAGTCTTGTACCATTTGGGCAATAGTTAACGAGATATTAATGTTTAAAGATAGCCGATGCGCGTCTGCCCGGCTTATTACTGCCGAAAGGCCCACCGATCGGATCGCACGGCGCGCGAGCCGCTGGGAGCGGGGATAGCCTAGCAGGCGCGCCCGGGGGGGGGTGTTGTGAAGAAAAAAATTTTAATTTTTTTGTTTAACAATTGTTAACAAAAAAATTTTTTTCTCTAACATTGAAGTAAACCGTACAACTTTTGTTTCAAAATTTTTTTTCCATCTTTTAAGGTGTCTTTTTATGCCGACGCTCGATGCTCATTTTCAGCGTCAAAATAGATCACGTGATCAAAATTGATGCTTGATATTTGTCAATTTTTATCACGTGACTTATATTGATGCCAAAAATGAATGTCAGCATGAAAAGGTACCTTTATACTTTCGACGATATTCGGCTCGAAATAGAAATACTGTTTTTTTTTCAAAGGAGTGTTTCATCCCTTAAACATAAGTTAGCGCACGTATAAAAAAAATACGTCTCTTAGATTTTTGTGTTTAACAACATATTTCACGAAGTCGTTGCCGGACAGTTGGGTAACGTCTCTTGTAAGATATTTGCTTCATGCATACTATGAAAATTACTTATCAGTAGGGATGTGCGAATATTCGCTTTCATGAAAGCGAGACTTTCGCATCATTTTAGATTCTCGCTTTTGCTTTCGCTATCGCAATTAATTATGCGAAAGTTTTAGCGACAGATTTTGTCCGGCTCGTGGGATTCATGAGTATATTTCGGTTGCGCACATTGCAATTGCCCCTCACCAATCACAACATTCGTACAACAGAAAAACTCTAGGCTCGGGCCGCTGTGAGTGGCTATGGATAATTGCAACGGTGCACAACTGCGCCGCTCCCGGGATTCACACTATTCAGCTTCGCCGGAAGCACACTAGATAGCAAAGGAGTGCAGTTTATGTTTCATTCATTGATTTGCCGGTCTAGAGAAATTTTACTATTTTATTATTATAATACATATCTTTCCTGTCAATTTTCTCATTCAACAGAAAAAAACAAAAATTTTTCATTTTCGCAAAAAATTTTTTCTTTCGTTTTCGCATCCACTTTCGTTATAACCATTTTCGTTGCACCCCTAATAAGGATAAGCAAATTAAAAAAAATATTGTAACAATAATGTATACAATTATTAAATTTTGTATTGCTTACTTATTAAATGATCTCAATAACTCATCTTTAATAATAATAATAATAATAATCACAAGGTGCAACTTTAAATAAAATCATTTAAAAAATATCCTTTAAACCAAATATATTCATTTATTTTTCAAAAAAATATAAATTGCTAATACACAAATTAATAAAATAGTTAAAAAATTTAATTAATTAATAAAATAGTGAAAATAATTTAAATTTAATCGCATAAACCATAGAAGAAATTGAAAAAATACTTATTATGAATATCGAGACCGAGAGTCTCGACCGATCACCGAGACCGAGACGAGATTGTCATTGTCAACATACATATTTATCTTCATTTAAAATAATTTCTAAAAAATGTTTTTTAACCGTTTATTTAATATTTTTTAAATATTTATTTTTCACGAATTATTTATGTAAGAAAATGATTTCAGTAAACATTTTTTAACATTTATCTTAAATTTATTTAATATTTATTTTTAATTATTTATTCATTTATAATGTAAAAGTAACATTTACTTAATGTTTATTTCAATCGATAATTTAAACTCGGATCTTATATGATTTGAAGAAGCATTTTTTAAATCTTTATTTAATGTTTATTATAAAAATATTTAATATTTTATTATTTTCTAAAACTCAAATTAGTCAAAATTGGATCAGAATAAAAAATGGCTACGGAGGAGAAGTAATCGTAATATCATTGCTTTAAGTATATCATATATAGATAATAAGAACTGTGTGCATCAATAGTTTAAATTAAGTGGCGTAACGGATAAGATACAAACGACTTCTAACTTCGATGTCCCAGATTCAAATCCCAGTAAGTAAAAAAAACAAATTAAAATGTAATGAAAAATTACAATTAATTGGTAAAAATTATTTAAGGTTTAGGTACTGTTAACAAAAAATAAAAAAATATTTTGTAATATACTTTTTCTAGTTTTGTTTAAATCTTAACATTTTTTTCAAATGTTAAAAAGACTATTTTTAACATTAAAAGGATATTTTCTTCTAATCTTAAAAAATATTTTTCTTTAACGTTTAAATAAACATTTTTTAAAAATGAAAATAAGATAACTTAATCCACTATTTTTAACGTTTTTAAAAACATTTTTTAAAATATTTTTTAAAAACATTTTTATAGACATTGTCTGCTGATTGGATTGTAATGCCGTTATCATTTTTTATAATGATTTGATGTATAACTTTACATATTTTCATGACGGGAACGATAACGACATGTTTGGAAAGAAATCGTTATACATATTTCACTTTTACTCGTTACATAATGAGTAACATGATGTAGTAGTAATGAATTACTCTTCAAAAGTGACTTTTCCAACTCTGACTTTATTGTCATGAAAAATTACAAAATTATTATTAAATCGTCATCGTAAAAAACAATGATAACGGTTAGTTGTTAGTGTTAAGTAACTCGTTACTTCCCATTTCTATATTTTAGACTCACCGGTCTCGTTTATATCCCAAATAATGACGATGGCGCCTAAGTTGGCCAGCCTGAGGGAAAGAAGCCTCCCCAATCCTCCACCTCCCCCTGTCACGAGGGCAATTTCGCCACCTATATTCTTCATTTTATACTTCTTGGGAATGAATGATTTGATAATGCCATCCAATATCGCGAAGGTCGACAATAACAGGAAGCCAATTACTTCCCCAATTAATTGTAAATATGTCATATTGGCACTATATACACAGATCTCGTGTGCGTTGTACTTGCTGCGTAAAGTTAAATTGACAGCTTTTGCTCGTCGAGTTCTTTGCGCGGCTTCTCTGCGACTAAGGCTATCGATCGTTCAGTCTGTCATTTCTGAAACGCAGTGTGTCGAGCTATTTTAGAACTTACAGAACAGCGACTGACGATTATGCCGATGACTCAATGATTATAACCTGAAATATAAAAAGTAATCTTTAGATAATATATCATCACATTTACAAAAAACAGATAACACTATACAGGGTGTCTCATTTTAAATAATGCATTAAGATTTTTCGAAAACTATGGTAAATACAGAAAAATATTTCAAACAAATGTTGTATGGTTCGGAAGGTGACATAAGAAGGTACCATTAATTTGACCTTGGGTGGCGTCGCCAAGGCCAGGTCAAGGTCACGTCAATTTTTTTAAATGGAACTCCCTATTTTTCATTACATTTTCTTGTAGCTTACCTCGAGAGCTTTTCAAAACACCATAATAAAATATTTTTTAATGAAGTATTTTTCGAGTTATAAGGCTCGAAAGTTACAGTACTGCCAGCATTAGCATTACGCAAGTTGTCCGACCGACAGCTAAAACCTCTTGAATATTATTCAGAATCATGTCCTGGATAACATTTATTATTGGATAATATTTAATATTTATTTAATTTGGTATGGGATTTAACTTGGCGTCAGTTGTTGATTTCTGAAATTTGAATTGACACTACAATTATTCATACCAAATCGAAATAACTTGATAAAGATAGTACATGGGTTTTACTTTCTAATTTGATAGAATTTAACTTGGCGCCACAAATGTTCATATTAAATCTTTTGTACAAATGATATCATTAGAGTTAATATTCATTATTTATTTAATTTGGCATGATATAAAGAATTAACTATAGTATTTATGGATATAAAGTATTTACAGTTATATTTATAGTAAAAATATCAAAATACTAACTAAATTAAAAAATCCCACCACCACTCTCATCGTTTTATAATAGTGATATAAAATATCCAAGTAAATATCAAGACGATGGTCAATTGCATACTTTTGCATGTATTCTTTGCTGTATAGAAAGAAATTAACAATGAATTAACAGAATTTAACTTGACGCCAATTGTTGATATCAAATCTTTTATATGAATCATACTAATCTTTTATACAAATGATACATATCATTAGGTTTAGTTTATTTTGTGATATAATGATTTTTATGTAATAATTTTTGAAGGGGAATAAAACTATTATAACTTGAGTTGGAATAAAGAGGAACATCGATGAAAATATTATTAAAGAAATGGGATTTAACTTGGCGCCAATTGTTGATATCACACAAAAGACCGGTTTTACCAACTCGATTAAACCGAATCAGTGATTAACTGTCAATCATAAGTGGTCAATTCTACTAAACAGCAAACGCAATTAGTTCCACGGTCGATTACGTAATTGGTGTTGGTGAAACCGGCCCAAATGGTTCTTTATGAAAAGCACGCACTCTTAGCGCTTTTTTACCTTTTTTTAAAAAGGAAAGTTTGTATACGATTAAAGTTACTATTATTTTCTTATTGGGAAGTTATCCAAGCAACGGATGAGAGCTAGTGACTACATTTACATGGCACCCTTAATCGAGGCTATGTTTCAAAATTGACTGTACTAAAAATCTAGAGTGCATATACCGTAAACTGTAGCATTTTCAGCGCTGGCAGTAAATTTTGAAACACGGTCTATTACTAGTAACATCTGTAGTTCTGACGCTGGTCAATCACAGTCGTTTCATTCTTCCGAGAAACAGCTATGATCGGTTTCATAACTACGATTGTTATTAAACCCGATTAAGCGTGCCATTTCTATAATGGCATCTTTTTATAGTGAGGAATGAAACTGGAAAACTGAACACGACAATCGCGTTCAGCAGACTCAACTATTGCGAAGTGGAATTTAACTCTATGCCAATTGTTGATATCAAATCTTTTATACGAATGATACGTAAAATTTTGTGGAATTTAACTTGGCGCCAATGTTGTTGATATCAAACCCTTTATACTTTATACAAATGATACATATAATTAGAATTAAGTAAATAACAAAGACAGTAACATTTGTGTTTTACTTTTTAATTTGATAGAATTTAAGTTGGTTAGTTAAGACTATATCATTTAGGTTATAATTTTTAATTTCGTACATTAGTTTTTTTTTTCGAGAAGTAATAATTTTTGACAGAGAATTAAAACTGCCATTACTTGGATTGAAATAAGAGGACCTTCAATATGAATATTTTTGAAAAAGAATTAAAACTGCTATTACTTGAGTCAGAATAATAAAAAGATATGTATCACTTAAGTTCTATTCGAAAAGCACGTATATGCTTAGGGCCATTTTTACTTTTTTTTAAAAAGGTAATCTTTTACAGAGATATGAATGATAAAATTTGTAACTATTATTTTGGTTGGGAAGGAAAATGTCTTTGAATGAATTGCAATATAAAAATTTCATATAAGAAGAATTAAAGTCATTTTGATTGGAATAGGAAGATCCTTCAATAGGAATACTAAGACTAATCAAATCGTCTCAACTAGAATAACGCGTAGTAGCTGATACAATTTAATATGATTTTATTGGTTGTTACATGTTAGAGATCACAATGCTGGAGTCCCATGAGGCGTACTTGCCGCGTATCGCATAATCGCATAACCAATCAGAAGCGAACCGCTGCTGTGATTCCGTGTCTTACTGAATACCTAGACATTTAATTCCTCGACGGCGACCATCTAGATAGACACCCACTTCCTCGTCTGCGAACACCTAGAAACCCACTTCCTCGACGGCGAACACCTAGACATTTAATTTCTTGATGGCGAACACCTAGACACCCATTTCCTCGACAGTGAACATCTAGACACGCACATGTTACTCGACACGGAGGCTGGACGTAAATAAGTCAATGGGTTAGGTTGGTACTGAGAGCGTTCGTGTTGGCGATCACAACGCCGCGCTGTAAGCATCATTTAAGCTGGAAACACAATAGACACAGACAATAGGCACAGGCAACAGGGAATAACGAGCCGTCCAATTACAGCTCTGGGATATAATATCGAACTTATACTCCAGAGCTCTGATTGGACAGCTCGTTATTCCCTGTTGCCTGTGCCTATTGTCTGTGTCTATTGTGTTTCCAGCTTTAAGGTGCAGCCACAATAGAAGGAATAAGGAATTAGGAATAAGGAATTAGGAATAAGGAATAACGATTTCAACTTATCAGAAGTCGTATACATCAGAATACATGGTTTCTGATAGGTTAAAATCGTTATTCCTTATTCCTAATTCCTTATTCCTTATTCCTTCTATTGTGGCTGCACCCTTATCCTTCTTACTAATAACCAACGCACTCAGTACCAACCTAACCCATTGACTTGTTTACATCGAACCTCCGTGTCGAGTAACATGCGTATAACGCGTTCAAGTAATTTCAATTCGTCGAATAATTAATCGGTAGTATTATATTGTGATTAATAAAGTTAGTAATAAAGATAGTAAATTCCTCATTATGTCGTTCAAGTGCTTGTGTAAATCAGTGATCGTATTGATTTGCGATAGAATTTGATTGTGATTACCGCGTGCAATGTTTCCTTCTTTATGGTAATTCTGAGTTGCCGAATGATTAATCGGCAGTGATTAATAGTGGTGAGCCAATAGATTCATTTGTAAAAATCAATCAAGTGCGTAGATAAATCCGTGAACATATTGATACATGATACAGTTTATAAAAGGAGGAAAACTTCTGATTATTAGTTATTGTATGCTGTATTTCTTTCTTGAATTTAATTCTCAGTCGCTAAATAATTAATCGGTATAGTGACTAATAATAATGACAAATTCGTTTGTAAATCAATCAAGTGTACGTGAAATATTGCAAGTGCTATGGCGGTTAATCAAATATCTGAAGATGGCTCAATCAAGAAGCGGAAACATGTAATATTAATTTATATATATTTTTCATGTATATTTGAATTTTAGAGCTCAATACATTTTATGTAATAACTTCGTTATATAACTTCATATTGTGCGATTTTATGATTGACTCTTACATACCTTTTTTTATTGTTATATTGTTTTGTCATTAAGAATCCTTTATATTAGTTAAATTTATTTCTTTTATATTTTTTATTTTTCACAATTAAATCTTCTTAATACATGTATGTTATTGTTTCTTTAAAAACAGCATTTATATCTTCAGGAAATAAAATATAAAAATCACGCATTTTTTCGCTGATTACTAGCATATATTAATAGTTTATTTTGTATGTGTATGTGCACATTAATTCGCGTATGTATCTACATATATTCATAGAATTTATCGTATCCGCTTAAAAGTTCATTAACCTTTGCGTTATGACAGGACCCTCAGGATCCCACCTTTTTCTACTTAATTTTTAATTATTTTGATGAATTTCTTAACGTTAAGTTTCGGTTTTTTATTTTCATAGAATCCATAAAACATAAATAAAGTATCCAAAAAAAGTGTTAAAAAGTAAGTATTAAAAAAAAAGCAATCATAAATTTTTATTTGCCAACCATGATTACTATAATTGAATAAGTACCCAATCAGCAAAGAAATGTTTCTGAAATGTTTTTTGAACGTTTTTTTTTTCATTGCAAAAAACGTTTAAAAAATATTTTAAAAAACGATTAATTAATGGGATAGATCCTTTTTTATTAATTAAAAAAACGTTTTCTTTACATTTAAAAAACATTTTTTAACGTTTACAAAACGTTTATTTAACGTTTAAAGAAACATTTCTTCAACATTAAACAAACGGTTTTTAATGTTAAAATTATTTGAACAAAATTAGAAAAAATAACGTAGAATTTTTTTTCTTATTCTTTTTTATCAACAATGCCTAAACCTTAGACAACTAATTTTATTAATTAATTCTAATTTTTAATTATATTTTAATCTTTTTCACTAACTGGCCGAATTTTGAACCTGGGATCTTAAGAGTTATGAGTCTCGTACCTTATCCGTTACGCCACTTATAACTATCGATGCACACAGTTCTTATTGTCCATATATAGAACACTTAACGCAATTATATTGTGTTAACTTTTCTTCCGTGATTATTTTATTATTCCGATCCGTTTTTTATTAATTTTAGTTTTGGAAAATAATAACATTTTTTACATATTTATAATAGACGTTAAATAAATGTGTTTTTAATTAAATAAAATATTTTAAATAAATGAATAACAAAAAACCAACATTTAATAAATTTTATATAAACGTTTAAAACGTGTTATTTTGAAAAGGAATCATAAAACGTAAAATTAATTATAATAAACATTTAAAAAAAATTTAATAAACATTAAATAAATGTTTCTTTAAATCATTATTTCAAACAAATAATTAATGTGAAATGAACATTTACTAAACGTTAAACAATCGTTTAAAAAATATTTCTTTAAACCTTTATTTCAAACGAACAGTTAATGTTAAATAAACAGTTAATAAACATTAAATAAACGTTTAAAAAATATTTTTTCAAACCATTATTTTAAATAAAAAGTAAATTCAAAACAAACATTAAATAAACGTTTAAAATAATTCTTTCAATCATTTATTTCAAATGAAAAATTATAATTGAAAATAAACATTTAATAAATGTTAAATAAACGTTAATGAATTTTGAAAACAAATCGTGAAAAATGTAAAATTAATGAGAAATAAACGTTTAAAAAACATTTAAAAAACATGGTCTGCTGATTGGGTAGTCAAAATTTATGGCTTTTTTGAAAAAATGCATTTTCTACTAAATTATTATCAATATCAAAATGGCAATTTAGGCACTCATTTAGGACATCCTAAAGTATTTTTCAAAATTTTTCAGATTTTTTCGCTATATTGTTTTTTTTTATTAAAAATTTATAATCTTTGAAAAATATAGAAAAATCGACATTTTCTACTGTAAATCCGAATAAATAGTTCAAATATCTCGTATAATTGTGTTCTAGAGGTTTTTTGGATCACTGAATCTTATAGCGTTTTCGGCCCAATCGGGTTGCACCAACCTGGGTTGGATTAATCTTTCCTATTGGTTGACGTTACACGCTCTACCAATAGGAGAACACAAAACGCCATGAATCACCCAGGTTGATGCAAACTCGGCCGGGTCGAAAACGCTATTAATCTGAGGTCAAAATTTCCAAATTTTGAAATCCAAAATAGCGAAACTGATAATCATGGATAAAAAACGAATGAAGAAATAGTCTTATTAAAAACTTGATTTCTGAGTATTTTAATCGCTGCATCTAAATCTGAGATGAAGATTTTCGAACACCGAAAATGGCAACATCGAAATGATATAAAACGGACTTCACGGCTGACTCGATCACTCATAGCAGACGAGCCGTTGCCACCACGTCGCGCCACGCCGATCGCGTGCGTGAACTTAGGGTCTCAATATCAGAAATATATTGGAATTGTACCTTCCATCATTATTAGAACCTATTTCTTATGAAATAATTTATTTTTATAAATAATAAAATATACTAAATATTTTATTCAAAGTTATTTGAATTATTGGTCTGCCACATTGAATCAACCATTTTGAATTTTAAAATTTTGATTTCTGATTTGTAATCAGTGGCTCGAAAAATCCCCGGTTAACAAAGTTTAACAAAAAAATCGGTTTAATACAAAAATTCGTGACACAAAAAGTTAATATCTTTACATTCTACTTTATTATTTTTTTGTATACGACAAGACGACAAAGATTTACGTATGCATTAGTTAGCTTTGATATAATGCAAATTCACGATTAATTTATCAATTTGCGAACATTTTGTCATATCGGCGTGTCGGCGCGCTGCTTTCTAATAACCGACGAAACTCACTTTCAATCTTTAACCGCGATGTTAACTGCAACAAAATCATGTGACATAACAGATGCCGAATTAATATAGTTGCGTAATCATTCGAGTTAAAAATAAAGATTGTCAAATACGCATTTTTACATCTGTTGTTCGTTATTTATTACACATATATTCCAAAATCGTTAATATTCTTTCCAATATAAATTTAAATTTCAGTCAATGTAATAAATTTTTTAAAAGTTGAACCTTTAATTTTTACGCTCTTTTTATTCTGCGTACGTTGTAATGTACATTAAATTTGAAAACATTATCCGTTGAAATTACTTAATCGACTAATACTTCTATCGACACTCCGTTCGAGATCTTTTTCCAACATATACATAATAATGTATATGTTGGAAAAATAGTCAAAATTTTGACAAAATTAATTATTCAGTATGAATTATTTATTAAAGTGCTTTGATAAATCGAATTAAAAAATTTTTTCAACATGGTTCCAATAAAATCAAGAATGAGTTAAACAGAATCCACTTTAATAAAATTTTAATTTGGAGACTCTCATATTCTTTTGAGTTTTCAAATTAAAATTTTATTGATTATAATTTCATTTCTGTTACATAAATGTGACTATGTGTTTTTAATTATAGTCTCTTAGTTGATGTAATTACAATTTTCTAATCGCAATTACAAGATACTATAATTAAAAGGACATAGTCATATTTATGGAACAGAAATGTCTGCAACCAATAGCAGACATCTCATTGAAGCAACTAATGCAATTAATAGAAATCTAGTAGTTTGTTATTGGCAAATGCAGAGAAAAGATGGCAATGAATTTATTTCTTGAGAATTAGATTCCTGAAGTCGTATCAATACGCGCGCGGAATAATCTCACGTTTCGCATATGCTGCGATTCAATTGCAATCAACGAGTAGTAAACCATAAATGTTTCTTACATGATGAAGACGGTAAACGTTCTAATCTTGATGCAGAATTAATTGACTTTCACTGTATAAATCTTCTTACTGTTGATTGTATTGTATTTTCCGTTGCATGTTTCTAATATAGATTATTAAACCTGCTTTTTGCCTTAATTATCTTAATGCGACTATAATTATTATTGTAAAAAATAGATTGAAAAGGACAGAGAGAATCGCAAATTCGTATTGCGAGATGGCCAATATACATTATTCATATACATTATAAATATTAATCTAACATATTATACATATAATATTTATATTACTAGGCAAGACAGATGTGCATTGCTCGCGTGCTATTTAAATATAAAGGTGTCTCTAGACGATATGGCCAACGTATGCCAACATTAGCAAATATCATACACATATATGACATACATAATTATCCATATTGAATGTAGTCAACATTTAGCGAATGTGTGCAAAGTTGGCTTACACATTGGCCATACCGTCTGAAGGTGCCTTTAAATACAAAAAGTATACAAATACAAATATACATATTCGTATAAGTACACAGATCAATCACGATAATTGAATCTTTGTGACTTGTCAGAACATCTTGTGCTGACAATTACTCTCATAGTATGAAATGAGCAAAGCGAGAGAATCAATCAGAATCACGGAAAAGGGGCAACAATGAATTCGACTATCGCGATTTGACACGCAAATTTTATTATAGGAGGAAGAGAGAGAATATTTCATAATATTTAATTTATTGAACTTACATTTTGAATGGAACCAAAAATTAACTCATCATAAAATTATATTTGATTTTATTCTCGAATAATCTCATTTTAAAAATAAAAATTATTTAATAAGAATAAATATACAAAATAAGATTACATATAAGAAGGTTTAATTATATAACTCAAAATGCATTGCAACCAAAATTTCCATTTTTTATTTCTCAACAAGTAATGAGTATTTCTTATACTGAGAAATTTTACACACACTAAGAAAAAGAATATAATTTTTTAAAAATTTCATCAATTTTCAATTTTTATAAATTTTGCTTTGAATTAAGTAATAAAACAGTTTTGTAATATATAGCTATAAGGAATTTAAATATGTTTTACAATATGAAAATAAATATGACAATATGAAGTCCCTTTTATCGTTAACAATTTTAAATGATATATTAAAATAATAAAATTTATTGGCAATACTTAATGTTAAAAAATTACGCTAATATGCAACGTTTTTGTTTCTTGAACATCTGAATAATTCTTATGTATTTTATTTCGTAAAGTAAGAAAAATAATGGTTGGAAATTGTTTAAATTTGTAGAATAAATTTTTGAAAATAAAGCCTTTCATTTCTTAAAATCTGTGATGGAACTTTTTTAACTTTATCTTCTTTTTTAGCAGCTAAAAATATATAAAAATCATTCAGATATTGAAAAACAGAAACGTTGTTACACGGTATAACAATTTAAAAAAATATAACACATATTGTTACCTATTGATCATTGTTCCACACAAGAAATTGCGTTTGTAGTCATGTGAGCAGGAGTATGAGAAGAGAAACAATATTCAAAAAAATATAAATTAGGCACGAAAATGCACACCTGTGTTTACACAATGCAAGACACACTTTGCGGAAAGTAGTATATGTCTTAGCAGTACTATGGTCGTCGGTATACTGAATGGAACGCGTTGCTTCGACTGTGCCTTCACCTCGAAATGATCGTCGAATCAGTGAGACGCAGGTCGTTGCGAAAATCGCATGCATGTATACCAGGATCTTCACATCCTCGCGTGTACGTTATACACTATTGTATCGCCCGCACATGAATGTACGGGATGATGCGCATGAAAGTAGTTCTCCATTGATAAGTCAATGCTTATAAAAATTTTATTGATAGTAACAGAATAATGAACGTAAAAATTCTTTCAGATCATAATGGTAAAGGAAAAATTAATCAGTCTAAATGAATTGGTGATAAGCTCATAATCTGTTATATATAATAAAAATTGAAATAAAAAAATTGAAGTAAAAATTTTTACACATTTTTACATGTGTAAATTACATATTTTTACATATAATTTTTATAAATAAAATTGATACTTTTTAAAATGATTATTTTATACTTATATCAAAATATTAAAATAATGTCATCGAGAAGTGAATATTTTACAAGTATGGCATATTTTTATATAAAATATGAAATATTTTGTTAATTGTTTTCTTTTGGATAATCTAACTGTAATATTCAAACACTGATACATGAGATATTTTTCCATAATGTGTGTTTTTGCATTTTATGCAATTAATTTATATGATATCAACATATAGGATAAGACCGTCCAAGAATGCGCATCGCTCAAGAGTTCGCATTGAGCTTTACGATGAAACTATTAGATCATAAGAGTATTTCACACAGAATGTGCCTTTTTAGTTTGCCAATCTGTGTATAAAAAAATCGTTGTGATTGTTGCAGCGATAAAAAAGATATTTTAAATTTTGTGATTTTAACCACTTTTTTCTATATCTTTCATGGATAAATTGATCGATTTCTACATCAAATTGTTGCTTTGTGAATCTGTACTATTTATATTGTGTGCATGCATGTCTCTGCTTCATATTTAGTGATAGATTTATTTAATATCTGTAATAATTTTTATATAGTTATATTAAAACTAAAAAGTGACACGATAACTCAAGAGTTCGCACTTGAGAACAGCTCATGCATTGTATTTGTTGTTTCCTCCTGGAGAGAAAAGGAAGAAAGATGAACTGGTGCAAAAGTTCAGCTAAAAAGAACAGGCCTACTGTTACATGTAACGTATATATAACATGAAATGTCAGCAAAATAAGGTAATTGTAATATAACACACTGTGTGTTTACATCTAACTCGCTGTTATTGGTGTATTCTTTTAGATCATCCAATCAGCATTTTAGATCTGGAAGAATACATCAATAGCAGCGAGCACTCACTCAACTGTTGAGTCCGTTGAACGCAGCTATTGAAAGCTTAGAACGTATACTACTGAAAGAGGAATTGCTTATATCAGACGTGAAGCTAACATCTGTACGAGAGAGAAAGCTAGAAAATCCCAAATGTTCGCAATGCGCATGCGCAGCACCGTCGTCTGTGTGAATTGTACATACAGTTGTTTAGTGTTTCTTACACATTTGTGTAACGTACAAACGTGTAAGAAACACTAAGGGCCATTGTCACCAAGCTCAGTTAACTTAACTGGCCAGTTAGTCCATCGGAATTGACCAATCGCATTTGTCATTTTGTTTGAAGCAAACATTGGTCAATTCCGATGGCTAGTATATGTAACGCATAGTATTTCCCTAGTTTTTCGTATGCGATACTTTTCAAGAATAAGGGCCAACGCGCTTGATAGAGTGAGTAGGAGCTATGGTAGAAGCATGTTGGAGCTTGCGACGCGAACAAACCTTAAAGGTGCGTTCAGGGAGACGCTATTAGCGCTATTGTGTCATTCTATCCTTGTTTTACGTCTAATAAACAACGAAGATAGAATGGCTGCGTTCAGCAGAGAAAGCAGCTTTGCAACTGTTGTAAAATTCTTCAATATGATTGGTTTATACGTTTAGATCTGTAAGGAACCAAAAGCAAGAACCAATCGTATTGAAGAATTTTACAACAGTTGCAAAGCTGCTTTCTCTGCTGAACGCAGCCAATTATGGCGATTGGGCCAGGCAGAATCGGGGATAAAATATGTTGCGCGCGCATATATGGCGAGCCGAACAGTGGCGATGAGAGTCGATTGGGTACGAAATACGTGAATTGGGTAGCAATAATCTAACCTAACAGAGTGTTAGTCAAAAATAGTGAGTTTTAAAAGTCGGTGGCTTTTCAATTTCTCATGCCCTTTCTGTTCGTAATATATACAAGATTTTTATTATATTAACCTTCATCTGAGGATAAATGTCACAAAGATAGCAAAAGAAATGGTGAAGTCCAAATAATTCATGATAATCTATTGCATATTTCGCCGGAATCCAGCAGACCGAAATTATTGCATGTTTTATCTGAACAAAAAATAGTTATAAATAATAAACCAGAGTTTTATGATGTTAGTACATTTTTATTGTGGCTGCGTTCCGTAATTTTATTTGTTCAAAATAAAAAATTATACCAATTTATATCTTTATTTATTATTACAACTAAATTTAATTACAAATAAAAATTAAAATATATGTACTTGTCCCTTTTAAGTTTTAAAATAAAACTTAAAAATAAAAGTGTTTTTTATGTTATAATAACTTGTTCTTTTTTGTACATTCCTTTACGTATTATTTATGAAAATGACACTTCTACATTACTTACATATTTTTTCGAATCTTATGTTGTATATCGGCATTAATGTCAAATTATACAACATATAATTCGAAAAAATGTATAAGTAATGTCGAATAAAGCCATAACGACTATATGCTGAAGTTTTGTAAAACCTATAAGTACTAATTGATAACATTACGCAAGTATAAAAGTGTTAAAATAAATGAAACAATCTTTTACATGTAAATATCTGTGTACATAAATTTTAATATTCACCTATAGTACTTACAGAAATATTTAAAGGTCAAGAAAAAAGAAATTAATGAGATATTCTCTAAAATAAAATTTCATTTATACGTCAAACATACATTCATACTACTGAAACAAATATTCATTACATAATATTCGTAAACATGTATGATACTCTTAAATTAAATAGAATTACAAATGATTACAATATTAATATTTGTTAATTAAATTAAAATTTATATTTTACTTATGCGAATTAGTAATAAAAATTTTTCATTTATATATTAATAATCTATAAATGATAATAGGAACTATATATTCCATTTTTTGTCACAAATCATCACGAAAATAATATTTACTTATTTCAGACAAGAGAGAAAATTCCTATAGCTAGATCTTGTAAGAAAAATCATTAACTCGAGACTTCAATAATAGCCTTATGTACAATATTAAGGTAGAATTCCACGGTCCACATGGCACGATATGGTTCGTGATACGTCTTGGCTCGCTTAAGCTCATCACAGGATCAGTCCCAAAATTGATATAAAAAAGGCTAAAATCTCAGTCCCACGGCAATCCCACGGAGAACTGAATCAAGCTTGCCACATAACGAGCTATGACCCACGGCGAGCTTCATCGTAGGAACAGAGTGACTTGCTATTGCTCGCCATAGCTCGCGGCTCATGGATTATCAGTTCGCCGAACCGGCCGAACTGTCGATAAATTATGCGAGTCCAAGGGGGGTCGCCAGGGCTCGTGCCTTGACTAAACGAAATAATTAGAACTGCCGTGCGTCGTTGCACCCAATTTCTTTATGCTTGCATATAAATATGTCAGAGCATATTTATTGTTGCTGATCGAGACACTTATTATTGTAAGTTAAGATTTTTTGATCATTCAAAGTCGTAGTATTCAGGAGTAGGATAATAAAAAAATTATCGAATCTATAATTATGTGAAAAAAATTTATATAAAATGACTTTGTGCAAGCATTGACCACGTTTAGTAGAATATTTGTTTCGCTATTGTTGGAAGTTTCTTTCGCGCTGACAGAATTATACTTTAGATCTTCTGTAGTCTTATTATCAGCGAAGAAAACTTTCAACATTTGCAAAATAAGCATTCTGCTGAACGCGATCATTGACGAGCGATCATTTGCTCAACAGCGCAAGATGTCTTGTCGGCTTGTCTATCACAAAGGCTTTTTTGACTCGCAAAACTTACCGCCATCTTCGAAAACGATGTGTCATGAGCCACAAACCGCGAGCGATGACGAACTATCCTGATCCCATGGCACGTAGAGACTTTCCAAGCCATGGTGAGCCATAGCGAACAATACAGAGTCATGCCGAGCTACGAGCTAGGATCCTACCCTTGGAATAATCATTTTAATCATAAATATAAACTAAAATAGTTTTCTTTAAACTTATCAAAAAAATGTTGATTATCATTTCATTAGAAAACAAAAATTTTATCTGAGTCACAATGCTATAGCAAATTGATCTTTGGTTTAAAACCCGTATCAGACTATAGAGATTGAAAGTTGATCAATCAAAGAGCAAAGGTCACTAAAACTTGAAACTAGTTTTCTTTTTCTGATAAATTCCAATCCAATATCAATCTCTAGTCTGATACGGGCATAAGTCTCTTATTTTAGACTTGAGTTAATGCAAAGTGAAAAAATTCAAACATAATTACTATAAGTCAAACGTATGACAGATCATGCTTGATTATTGTAAAAGCCCTAAATTTCGTATAAATATACGTATAAAGAAAATATTCGAAAGTACTTTCACATACTTAATTATGGACAATATATTTTGAATCCATTCAAAATGAATTATCCATAGCTAAATTAGCTGATGAATTCTTGCTATCGGGAGATTGCATTGCAATGTAGCGCCTTCGTAAAATTTCCTGCAAATCATTGCATGGACTATTCTCACGTTTCACCCGCATGGGATGGCCGCCTGGAGACCTATAAAAGATCAATATACAATCTTATTTTATTTTCTAAGAA